TTTACAAAAATTAGTGTATGCCTAGACCTCTATTAAATATGACGAATTATATAAATAAGTAGTGAATGAACTAATGTGGTTTACCTTGCTCCCCCTTTCATCACTATAACGAACAAATAGTTGAGAAGAATGTTGACAACTGCTGCAACTACCATAGCAACCATGGTTATCATCTCGTGGTTTCGACATTGTAAAAAACGGCTCAAAACAAAGGATGCAAATACCGCCTGTGTTGAATTGGAACACATGCTTAATGTTATCGATTTTAATTTTAACTTAAGTTGTAATTCGAAATGTTGTAAGGAAAGGCTACGTAGGGCAATGTAGTTTTCCATTTCAGCCCGGTCTTAACCAGTCATCGAGAGATTTTGTTTTACTGTTAACCAGAATTTTAATGTCAAGGCTTGATGAATGGCTATAAAAATAATGTTGTTATGAAACGTAGGCCACTTACGGGTACGGCTGGTAAATAGACACGCACAAGTACACCTACCATCCTGAAATGTTATGGATAAATAAAAAAAAATTGTTTCAATTATTACAGCATTGTAGGACTATTACAACAACAAACTGGTGACCAAAGCGTGACTCTGCAGGTTAGTAATGACAAGATGGGAACCAGAAAGAGAGAGAACCTCAAATAGAGGAACACATCTCAATTTATAATTGTGTTTAGTAAAGCGTGTTTTTGTTAATATTTTTTTATCTGAATTATAGATAGGCCTACATAATTGTATAATATTAAAGTTGACTTGCAGTGCAATAGATTCTTCTTGTTGTAATAGTCTTAGTATACTCTCCGTATTGATCAGTAATGCCCAGCAAAGTAGTGACACAAGACCGGAAAGTATCAACGATTTTTGAAGAATGGTTTCTTGCTTTTGACCATCTGTAGATCCAAATCCCTAGTAAAGCGTTAATTGCTACAATCATTATCAGTATATTAATAAACAAAATGCTAAAATGGTGAAAATAATGCTCAGATAATCTTACAAGCATTGTTAATTAACTTCAGTATGTAGTTAATGTGCATTCTGTCATGGATATTGGCAATATATAAATCCTTGTTGATTGACTGATAGGTTGATGTTAATCTTATCTAGCATAATAGTTTCCAGCGAAGCTCCTCCTTATCAGTTGTTCGGTACCGTATACTTCTGGCGGGAATTTTAACATGAGTAGGTATTAATGGGCACTTTGAGTAATGTCATTGTCATAGCGCCACTGAACATTGCATTCTGTCGTGGATATTGGCGCTATATAAATTCTTGATTTATTGATTGATTGATTGGTCGGTTGGTTGGTCCTGTGAACTCTCGCTGTCAAAGCGATTGCACAGTGGCAATATTTGTATGTGTACTACGTGTTACTTTCTGAATTGTATTTGCTATGTGTGTGAGAGTGTGTATGGAAGTCGAATTCGGGTCTCCTATTTTATGAGCATCCAATGTTTTATGATTTTATATGATATGTAAAATTTTACATTAATATTTATGCTCATATGTACAAAAATGATGGTTATAATATTACTAATAATTCATTAGACGAAAAGATATTAAGAGCCATAAAGAGTATATTTGGTTAGGCCTATATTATTACTAACGTATAGAGAAATGGTCATTCAAGGAAACAAGAAGAAATTAACTTTGACTTAGACTTAACCATACTTACCGCAGCAAAGTAAGTGTTACAAACAGTGACCATACCATACCCAGGCATGAAGCAAAGTATCGATATTATCTGAAGATTAAAAAAATATGCCATTCGATTTTGTCTGAGCGGTAGCAAGGTGGTTGTGGTTCTGCTTCTCAAACCTGAGGTCGGAGGTTCAATCCCTCGCTGTGTATTTCGCTTGTGTCCTTTCGTAAGGCAATTTACCTATACGGTCGTCCCCCTACACCCAGGAGTACAAGTGGGTACGTGGTAGAATCAAACACAAAATGCACTTATTACAGCTGCAAGTTAAGAAATTCTCCCCAGACAGCGATGGCGCCAGAAATTTGCCGACAAGGGGTCCGAACATGTTCGACGAAGGGGTCCGAACAAAGGGCCGACGAAATCTCGGTCGAAGGCCCGGAATAAAAAAAAAATCCCTGGTAGGGTTCAGGGGACGGTATTTTTTGGCTTATGTATGGCCAAAAATGTGCTTTTAGACCAACATATTAGGGATTGCCAATCAAAATAACATTTGGATAGCCTAAATATTTACAATTTTTGATCAAACTACCTAATTGTGCGTCGGACGACATGGGGTCCAGGCCTGTCCGATGGGGATACCCCTTCCCCCGCTGGCGCCACCACTGTCCCCAGGGAGCTGAGTATGTGTTCCATACTGATTTGCTTGATTCAATCACCTGGTACCCGGTGATAATTTGAAGTTCTTATAGGCTTCGTTGACATGAATCGCTATGTAAGTCCATAGAGAAAATAGAACTGTTCTATTTTCTCTATGGTAAGTCTAACATATTAGCTTATTATTATACACTCGCCAATACAACAGGATGGAACAATGCTGTGTAAACCAAGTTTTTTTAGAGGCTTAGGCGTTGTTTTTTACGGAAGCGTATTGTTGCTAACGTAAAAATAATTTTGAGCCATTATCTCGTACGTACGAGATAATATCTCGTACGTACGAGATAATATCTCGTACGTACGAGATAATATCTCGTACGTACGAGTTAATATCTCGTACGTACGAGTTAATATCGCGTACGTACGAGATAATATCTCGTACGTACGACTTAATATCTCATACGTACGAGATAATATCTCGTACGTACGAGATAATTATCTCGTACGTACGAGATAAATATGTAGTATGAAGCGCCAACTGCTCATTTCCGGGCAGCTAGGCTTAGCGCCTAATGCATGCATTTATTTATACTCTGATATAACAACACTTCGGCTTTGAAAATGGTTGTTGGTGGATAAGGACATGAAAATAAGATAGCGTAACGACTATACATGGGGCATAACATGTCAAGGGGGTGGGGTGGACCTTGCGTTCAAATATATTTGCTCTTAAGGATAGGCAATTTCCTTACCTAATTTTCTCTATTGTGTTTGGTAATTAAAAAGAGATTGCCTCCCCAACTTTGGTTTTGGGCTAGGCTTCGAATTAGGGGGTGCATTGTATAATACTCTTTTTTGTTGTTTTTTTTAAATTGCTGACTACCATTCCTTGACGGGGTTTAAAATGGGGGCCCAAAGACAGTTCACGGCCAAGGCGGATCCAGTAGGGAGAACGTTCCCCACTCCCGTTTTGGCACCAAATTTTAAAATTTTCAATACAAGTCGAAGTTATATGCTACTCACTTACCTATTGGGAGACTGTTGTGCCCACACCCACCTCGTTCATCATTTGAAAATATCTGGATCCGCCCCTAGACGGTTGTTATCAAAATAAAAAATTACTGTTTCCAAAAGAAGAAATTGTTTGGCACGAAAACACTTTTATTGCACAGTAAAGTACATTAAAGTAAAATACATTTATAAAAATAAGAAATTAAATACTATACAATACAAAGGTGCATTACATACGTAATCATTAGACTTTTAAATGCGTTAAAATACAAAAACATCAAAGGTAGAGCATAATAAAAGCAAAACAACAATCAAAAGCTGCATTATTGTTGTAAACATTATTATTAATATTACTATGATAATAATTATTATTATAATAACAACAATGAGAATAATTATTATTTATACAACCACCATAAGTATTGTAATTATTATTATTATTATTATTATTATTATTATTATTATTATTATTATTATTATTATTATTATCAATCCCAATTCCTTCGTTCGAAGTATTACCTCCTAAGGCGCTTCATACTAGACAGTTATCTCTACGTACGAGATATTAAGTCGTACGTGCGAAATAATATTCGTACGAGAAAATTATTTCTCACGTACAACTTACTCATACGTACGAGATAGCTGAAGCGCCAACTGCTCATTTATCCAGCAGTTTATCATCCAATTCGAGATTCTGTGAACAGCGGCGTAGCTATGTGAGAACAAGGTAATTCAACAAAAGGACGCACATCTCGGGACATCAAAGGTTATAACTCTGGCATCGACATTCTAGGCGCACGTGCGTCCCTACACCCTGAACGTCACAAAAACCATACCAACCAGACCATAAACCCTCAGCGTACGTGACGATTTACCCACGCGCGTGTTAGTTGCCATGTTA